AAAACTTACAATATTGCTCATCATTTTGAAGGAAAATACATCATCGTTGTTGCATACATTAGCATGATGTCAACTCCAGATCCTGCCACCCTTCAAAATTATGTTCTGCCTGCTCCTGCTTTGGAAGATCCTGGTAGGCCAAATATTAGTGTACCAAGTTTTGGAGTCTTGATTACCTATGATCATTCAACTCATTGTTCGTTGAGGATTATTAGTAAAACACATATTTCTGCATTCTTATAGGTGAATATTAAAGTTAGATAAACCCAATAATAGCTGTGATATAGTAGAATACTACATGCACACATTGTGAATTTGTCTGTCAACTTCACAACTCTCTAACTTACTACTACTACCAAACTGTAAGACCAGTACTGACAACTGCCGTCCTTTTCATACTGTAGAACTGGATATAATTGTGGGACCATCAAGAATATCCCTCAACTGTCCCATAAGGTATGCTGTGTTCCCTCATTTTTTTAAATTCAAATGTGCTGGTAATCTGGTCATCATCATTCATTCATCATCATTACCCCAATGCCACAAAGGCTCCCACCTTCGGTGAGGTGGGGGAGGGGGTCGGATGTACGCAGTCTTACCCCTGTAGTAAAGCACAGAGAGTCTTTATCCGGATGACCCATAGTGAAAATCGCGTTGAAAATTACATGGACTGACTGCTGCTTCATAACAAAGAAGCGCAGACAGTTTAGAGAGCCATTTTGCTTTATTCCATCATATTCCCAAGCCAAAAAATAGCGAATCTTTGGCTCCATTGCAAATGATGGAAGTGTGCTAGTAATCTGGTATAGATAAAAAAATATTTTGGCCGATTTGTACTGAAATTTATCGAACCCTCATGATTGTCATTTGTCATTATCCCCATGGACAAGTTATTTAAATGTTGGGTGGTCATGCACTCAAAATATAGATTTATCTTTTATGATACCAAAAGATCTTTTAGGTGCATTAGATACAAATGATTTAAGGAAGTTATGTATGAGCTTTTCTGAATGAGTAATCAGTTATGACATATTGACATGCATCCGTTTTTTTTAGTACACACCTAGGATGACAGTTCGTGAAAAAGTTTACAGTTTTAACTTCACCATATAGTGAGTGTAAAGTATAGTAAAGTCTCCCTCAAAATGTTATCCTAGGTTGACTGGTACCAAAAGGTACTAGAATTTTTAATTTGTTTTATACGTTCTTTTTTTCCTGCTCAATAGGGTAAGTTTCTTTTCTTGATATAATGATATGCCAACTGGCAACATTTTAGTGTTTCTGCTCATAATTTTTTTTCACCTCAAACAGCTTCAAGCGTATCAAGACTCCTATTAAAGGCCACTCATGCAAACATCTTAAGGTGAGAGAGAGCATTGCAGTGAGTTAATTAGATTAATCATGTCCATTAAGCACTAATCTAGTAGACTTTCAAAATTATGATCTGGATCAATAGGCAACAACCCATTGAATGCTATACTTCCTATATGCTATATACAATCTATTGATAACTTTAGAATTTGAATTATTCTTTTGAAGTCTTTTATTTAAGGAATTTTATCAATTCAGGACCTGAAAGATAGATGAATTATTAATTAGGGACCCGAAATATGAGATGTATCGGTACAGGACCCGAATGATGAAAAACTATAAATCTAGGACCTAAGATTTCATGGGTTTTGATTTATTTAATTTTTTATTAGTTTCATTGCTAATTTTTGACAAACTTTTCTTCACAAAAGTTTATTAGATTCATAAAAATAAATAATTTTAAAAATTTTAAAATAAAAAAATTAATAAAATTCATGACAACTTAGGTACTAGATTGATAATTTTGAATCATTCAGGTCCTAAATTGATAGTTTTCCATCATCCGGGTCCTGTATCGATACGTTTCATCTTTCAGGTCCCGGATTGATAATTCATCCATCTCTCAAGTCCTCAATTGATAAAATTCCAGTTCCTCATCATTTTCATTTCTATGATTAGATTTAACTGAACAAGTGTTATTTCTAGTGCTTTGATTATGACAACTATGTGAGCATAAATTCTAAAAGACCATCCTGGCGTTGCCCTCATTGCAATCAGCATGTATGCTTCACTGACATCCGTGTTGATCAATCTATTTTCAAGGCAAGTGAATATCTTGATACACACACTATCCATACGTACATGCATGTACTGGAGTGCAGAAAAATTTCCTTCTTTGGTCCTGTGACCTACTACGTCATTCTCATTATCATTCCATAACTTTCATTTTTTCCTCTTTTTGGTGCATGAGAATGTTTTTCTGTCACTTTATCTCCGGAAAAAATCAACTGAAAGTTGTAGGGAAATTAACTGGAAAAATGGTCAGGACCACAACTGAAAAAAACCTATAGTTATGACAAAAGTGGAAGAATAAAAATTGGAGATCAAAAGTAGGAAGAATATTTATAGTAAAGGGACCAACAATGGAATATTTGGTGTTTAAGTGCGCTTGTGTCTGATGGAAATTGTCCTGTTTTCTTAGTAACAGATGTTTTTTTATATCTTGAAGGTTTTGAAAGAAGTCGCAGAGAATGTCACTGATGTGATAATCTATTCAGATGGTTCATGGAAGGCAATTATGGAAAGTAATGGTGAGCATCATAATCATCCCAATAATAATAGTAACAAAAAGATGCCGGATACAAGCCCCGAATTTGCAGAGGGTGAAATGGTGCCGCCATATTCTAACCCACACGTAGATATTTTGGATCTCACTGCATTAGACAATAATGAAAAGGGTACAGAGGAGGAAATTGTGGACCAAAAAGAATCACAAACCAAATACCAAGGTCAACCTTGCACAAACTACTATCCATTCAACATTGTTGGGGATCATTTCTGGTCAACAACTTTTCTCTCCACATTTGGTTTGGGTAGTGCACCAAATCAGCAGACCACTAATAGTATTCCAGCCTCTATGATACATGGTGGGGTTGGAGGGCCTTCTCCCAGAAATACCTTACCCTTACACTGGCCCCAATTTTGTAATTCACCAAATTCTCCGTTTAGCTATGGAATGCACCAGCAGTTTCCCACAATCCCTTATAATGTGAATACTCTCCATGAGTTGCAGCAGCTACACTGTTCATTCCCTTCTTCTGCTCACCCCACTCAACAATTAAACTCAAGTCAGAGGACAACCTATTTGACTAGTCAATCTCAACGGGGCCCTGCTCAATCATATGTTTCAAGTGGGATTGGTCGGTCAAATGGTGCTTTCCAGCACAGCATGCATGCTCCTCGTCCTCCTTTAGTGAACCCAACACGAGGTGATCAAAGCGGGAACATAGTGGGCCGAGTACCTGTTGATTCGACAGACTGGAGGCCTGCGAGCCGTATGCGTGGTAGCCTATCGGGACAAGCTTATGATGATGCACTTAACCAGTACCTCATACATCATCAGCCACGAGCTCAGTCCAACACACCAGCTAATGTCTCGCCCCAATTACAAGCCCTCATTGCTAACAGAGTTGGTCATGCATCTGCTTCCTTGGTAAACCACTCATCTACAGGATGAAACCGTATAGAATGTTTCTATTTTTGCTCCTTTATTTATAAATATCACACGTCAAAAGAAAGGAATATATCATCTATAGTTTTAGATTTTTGTGATTAGCCGTAGCCAAATGAAATCCACTGAAGTATTTAAACACACATATGTTTGGTCTTATTTATTTGGTTTGTAATGATCAATATTTTTGCATTATCGATATCAAGCATACGATTCCACTTATCTTTATTTGCGTGTAATTTCACTATTCCCAAATTTAGGTGATGGGAGCAAAAGATATTCCTCATATTTTGGGTTGCTGAGATAATATATTGAAGAGTCCTGCAAATGCTCTTGCACCTCAATTATATATACTTCTATTTGCAAGTCCTTAACAAGACACTGTTACATCTCATTCTTTTACCCTTATAGTTATATGTATAAGTGTATAACAAAGAGCAGCAGTCTGTATAATGAAATTCATTAATAATGATTAATAATGATTTATTAAACCTTTCAGATTGGAGGATGAAACTGATAAGTGTCCATCTTTAGTTACCAAAAGATGAACTTTTTTCTGCCCAAAAACTGTAGTGTGTTTGCTCTCTAAACATGGGTCAAAACATGACTTGCAAAATGATTACTCCATTGACACACTAAAAAATTTTGCAAGAATTTTTTTGCATGTGAGCCGATTAATTGAGTAATCAACCCAAGGAGTCAAGGACTCCATGCAATCCCTTCAACCCTAGGAGTCCTGTTTGTTTGGCCTCTATTGATGACACAATCACCATATATTGCTTCTTTGTTTTCTGAGACAGTGCAGACAATGTCGAGATATACGAAGCAACACGTTAGGGGAGATCATTGCTCAATTTGTCTCACTACCCACAAAATTGCAATTCACCTTCATTTTAATATAATAAAACACTCTTGTGCAGGATTGCTCTTCAAACATTGAACCACCTTTAGCACAATATCCAACTAGTATTTGAGTTGACACCAGTAAATCTTAGTTGAGACTCCTTGCCAACTTAATACTCTAAAACATTCGAGTGTCACATGCATCATATGAAAACATTCATTCTAGAGTTGGAATGTTCTTATGGAGAACAAGTTCAACATAATGTAGTTTTCTCAATAACGAAGACAGCGTAAATTGAAGCTTATGATAGTGTTTTATTTGTGTAAATTTGTCTGAACTAGAGTTGGTATTCAGTAATCTCCCCCAAAACCATAGGACTTCTGCAGCTCCTTTACCCACACCATCACCCACTCCGTGGTATTATGGAGTGGCATGCAGGGGCGTAGCTAGGGGGACATACTAGCTAGGCCCTACTCTGCTTCAAATTTTAGAAATGCTTCTATTTGTAGTGTTAAAAACTATATAAAAAATATTTTGAAAAATTCTTTGTACGGCCCTTCATGGTGTATCATCCTGCAGAGTCATGGGCAACATGCAAATGTCTTCCAGCATTTTCTTATTTTCCCTATAAATAGGAGTGTTCTTGTTTGCTCAAATCTATTAAACCATACTAATTAATCCATAATAATCATGCTCTCAAATAGATGCCTCTGTAATTTTTAATTTTTTCACAAGATAATTACTTGAAGATAATGCCAGTACTGTAGGAAGAGTATAAATACAAGGAGAAAACGAAAGAAAGTAGGAAGATAAGAGGTTGAACAATGTGATAACGAAATGGTCAAATGCTCAAAGCCTCAAATAACAAAAGAAGGGGAAAACAGAAAAGAACTTGGTGGGTAAGTAATAACGTGAAATTAGCACGTTTAGCCTTTTCTAGCAAAGCAGTTGAGCTGATTCCATTAGGTAAAAAATAGTTGGCTTTTATCTCCGAGTAATGAATTAATTTAATAATGAAAGTACTCCATAATAACTTTGTAACATACAATCCAATCCATATCGTTTACGGTAGACTGGTTCCAGTTCCGAAACCAGATCAAATCTCAAATAGTTGGTTTTATGACTGGACATGATTCTCTCCAGAAGACCAGAATTGGATGATAAAAATAATATTACCGAACTGAAACTATTATAAAACTGATTATCTGAACAAAGGAGTTCGACAAAGGTGTAGGAATTCTCCTTTTTTTTTTTTTTACTATTATCATATGTGCCTATGCGCATATATATAATACAAACATACAAGTGGGACGTACAGGGAATGGGAGAGAGAAAGTTCTGAGCATGTGCATGCCATGCAAAATACTAACCCTACCTAAAGTAAGTGGTATAATAATATTACAATAATGTGTGGAAAGTACATGACAACTAAATGGTACGTAGGGAAAATGCATGGACTCCAATACTCCCCCTCAAGGTGGAGTGTGTAGGTCACGAACACCCAACTTGCTACGAAGGAAATGGAAGCGGTCTGTACCAAGTGCTTTTGTGAATATGTCGGCCACTTGATTTGTCGTGGATATGTATTGTGGTTGGATTTCGTTACTAGCAACTCGTTCTCGTACAAAGTGACAATCCATCTCGACATGTTTGGTACGTTCATGAAAAACCGGGTTGAGCGCGATGTGTCGTGCTGCTTGGTTATCACAATAAAGTAACGTGGGGCCCTTTTGATAAATTGTGAGATCTCGTAGTAACCAACGTAACCATAAAATCTCACTTACAGTGACTGCCATGGCACGGTACTCTGCTTCAGCGGAAGAGCGAGAGACAACAGATTGTTTCTTTGTCCGCCATGATATAGGTGAAGCTCCAATTGTGATTAAATAGCCGGTGCTAGATCGACGAGTAAAAGAGCATCCTGCCCAATCAGCGTCACAATATCCGGTCAGGGTGAAGTCATGATCAGAGGATAAAAATATGCCTTGACCAGGTGTAGATTTTAAGTACCGAAGGACACGAATAGCTGCATCAAAATGTGATTGTCGTGGCGCACCAAGGAATTGACTGAGCTGGCTAACTGAATAGACTATGTCTGGACGGGTCACAGTGAGATATAGTAGACGCCCAATTAATCTCCGATAGGAAGGGGCATCTACAAGTGGACTACCATCATCGGGGCGGAGTTTTAAGTTTTGTTCCATTGGAAATAAACTAGGACGTCCAGCAAGATTACCACTTTCATCTAAAATGTCGAGTGTATATTTTCGTTGACTTAAAACGAAACCTTCCGGAGAGCGGGCAACCTCAATTCCAAGAAAATATTTAAGCTTTCCCAAGTCTTTGATGCTAAACTTGGTATCTAAATAATGCTTGATACTGTCAATGTGAGAAGAATCGTTGCCGGCCAAGATAACATCATCCACGTAGATGAGAGCAAAAGTGTGAACAAGTCCCTTCTGAAAAATAAAAAGAGAGTGATCTGCTCTAGATTGACGAAAACCGATTCCGACCAATGCTTGAGTGAATTTATGGTACCAATTACGAGAAGCCTGTCGGAGCCCATATAAGGATTTTTGCAACTTGCAAACTCGAGTGTCATCCTTCTTAGCAAATCCCTGTGGCAGACGCATGTAGACGTCTTCAGAAAGGTCACCGTGAAGAAATGCATTGTTTACGTCCAATTGGTGAACTGTCCAATCTCGTTTGGCGGCGACAGCCAACAAACACCGTACTGTAACAAGTTTGGCCACCGGTGCAAATGTTTCGTGAAAATCAACTCCTTCTACTTGAGTAAAACCCCTGGCCACTAATCTAGCCTTGTACCGCTCCACATCTCCGTTGGATTTATATTTAATTTTATAAACCCACTTTGAATCAATTGCCTTTTTCCCGGGTGGTAATGAGACTAGAACCCAAGTGTTATTTTCTTCCAAAGCATTTATCTCCTTTTGCATGGCATCTCTCCATAAAGGATCTCGCACGGCCTGTGAAAAATATTTAGGCTCATCACGAGAAGTGATGGCCGTCAAATATGCTTTATGAGTACGTGAAAACTTTTCATAATTAATGTATTTCGAAATAGGATAAACTGTTGAGTTTACTGCGTTGGTAGCAGACTTTGAATGGTCAAGGGATGACGGCAAATCAGTCTCATAATGATCGAGATATTTAGGCATTCGGCGGTTCCGATCACCCCTTCTTTGTTCAAGAGGAGGTGCAATGTTTGAAGATCTCATAGATGGGCCGGTGGGACTTGTACCCTGTGCAGACACGTTAAGGGGCAGCTGGCTAGGTGATTGGATGGTAGCTGGGATGGTATCCTCAACTTGGAGGTCGTCAATATTTTCAGATGTGGGGCCATGTCTTGTGGATTCACGTGTAGGTGAAGGAGGAGAAAACCGCTGCATTTGATCGGTGTAGGGCAGTTGCTCCTTAGGCAGTGAATTATGAGATATGTTGGTTGATGCAGCTGGTGTGGGGCTGTTTTCCATGTGAAGCCGAGATGCTGATTCACGTGTAGCAGTCTGTTTTTGTCTAGATACATGACCCATTGGCAGCTGCCCAGTAGTTGGAAGGTCAAAATCAACATGCAGCTGCTGGGTTAATTCAGCCGACCTGCAATCACTTTGTTGATCCAACTGGTGCGGCTGTCCAGGAACGTGATGAGTCGGCAGCAGCCCGCTAGGTGGAAGATTATCACGCAGCAGCCCGCTAGTGGGGCCGCAAGTGCTTTGTCCAGTGTCTTGTCCGCTAGTAATAATCGGATGAGGGAGAAAATTGCTTGATGAAGCATTATGGTGCGGTGTAAAATGCCCATTATTGACCGTGTGATTGTATACCTTCTCAACAAGTGACGGAAAATCAAGCTCCTGATCCAAATTGAGTTTAAATGGGAATATTTCTTCACAAAATGTTACATCCCGAGAGCTGTAGACATTATGTTTTTGCAAATCAAAAACACGATAAGCCTTTTGACCATGCGGGTAGCCAATAAATATACAAGGACTCCCCCTTTCAGCGAACTTATCTTTTCTTTTATTGTCGTGAGCATACACTAAACACCCAAATACACGCAGATGATCATAACTAGGCACTTTTCCAAATAGCATCTCGAAAGGACTTTTGTTAGAAATAATGGGTGAGGGAAGTCTGTTTATAATATAAACAGCTGTCAGAATGCACTCTCCCCAAAAATCAATCGGTAACCCAGACTGGAAACGCAGTGCTCTTGCAATTTCCAATATGTGTCTATGCTTACGTTCAACAACCCCATTTTGTTGTGGTGTGTCCGTGCATGACGTTTCCAATAATATCCCAGTGCGTCCATAATAATCCAATAAACTGTTGGTTTTAAATTCTACACCATTATCAGCCCTTATCCGTTTGACCTTTTGCTCAAATTGAGTTTCAATCATATTGCAAAAATGCATAATAAATTGGGAAACTTCTGATTTATTTTTCATCAAATAAACCCATACACCCCTGGTAAAATCATCAACAATAGATAAGAAATACCTTGCACCGGAGATTGAATCACATCTATAACCTCCCCAAATGTCGCAATGTATCAACTCAAAGCATCGAGTTGTCTTAATGGAACTTGTAGGAAAAGGTAATCTAGTTTGCTTAGCTCGGATGCAGGGATCACAAAAATTATTGCTTCGTCGAAATCCCTTGAGAGAACTAATATGATGTAATTTTCCATCGGATGCATGTCCCAAACGTTGATGCCATAAATCGGGTGTAATCGATACTGACATTGCCACCCCTTCACTTCTGGGAGGCTCTAAATAATAGAGACCATCACATAATTTACCCACACCAATCAGTTTCTTCGAGGATACATTCTGTAAAATACAGAAGTCTGGGAAGAATATGAGTGTGCAATTTAGATCGCTTGTTAAGCGACTAACTGAAAGTAGATTGCATTGAAATTTTGGAATGTATAGAACACGTTCAAGAAGGATTCCATTTGGCAGGTATAAACTTCCAACTGCATTTACTGGAATTGATTCGCCGTTAGGAATTCTGACGGATGATTCTGATGTGTGCCTAGTGATATTAAAAAGATTCATATCACTACAAGTGATATGTTCACTAGCTCCAGAATCAATAATCCAAGGACGAACATGTGGCAAAGTATATGCCATATTTACTTGAGAATTTGAAGAAGAAGGAGAAGAAGAACACACAACTTCACAACTCTTCTTAATGGTGGTATCACAAATCACCATAGCTCAAAGCAAAAAAGAATCAAATTTGGAATTTTTATTTCCAGGATTTCGGCTCTGATACCATGATAAAAATAATATTACCGAACTGAAACTATTATAAAACTGATTATCTGAACAAAGGAGTTCGACAAAGGTGTAGGAATTCTCCTTTTTTTTTTTTACTATTATCATATGTGCCTATGCGCATATATATAATACAAACATACAAGTGGGACGTACAGGGAATGGGAGAGAGAAAGTTCTGAGCATGTGCATGCCATGCAAAATACTAACCCTACCTAAAGTAAGTGGTATAATAATATTACAATAATGTGTGGAAAGTACATGACAACTAAATGGTACGTAGGGAAAATGCATGGACTCCAATATTGGAATCGGAAAATCAATCCGATCTAGTTGGGATTATTATTGTGAACTTTTCAAGTAGAGATTATTTTTGTAAAATGTGTAAAAGTATGGATTATTGGTGTCAATTTCGCCTTATTTTAAAAGACAAAAAAGTGACATGGCCTAGATGACTCTCGACGTGAGATGTCATATAAAAGTTCTGTGCATCTACAGGACAAGAAAGAAGACAATCTAAATTAATTGAACATAAAAATACTTAAATTGAAAAATAATTATTCAAGTAAAAATAGATAATAACCAAACGAGACTATTAAAGTCTATTATGAACTTTCAATTAGTACATGCATATATACACAATGAAAATATGATCTTTTATTAATTGTGGGACAAATAATAGAAAGAATGTAATAAAAATATAAGTAAGAATAAACTGGGCGGGTAACCAAGCATTCCAGCCCAGCTGGTTGTGAGGTTATCGTGCCTAGTGGGAGTTCTCAAGTTCGAAACCCGCTAGACACACAAGGGTTCGAAACTCATGGAGTGAGTTCCAGCCCTGATTTCTCTAGGCCCCCAGGCCCCCTCCCCAGACCCTGGAGTAAAAAATAAACAAATAAATAAATAAATAAACGAGGCGGGTATGTATGTATAAAACCGTAACCGCTCTGTTACTCGGTCAATGCGATAGTCCTCATTTTGACCGAAGTGGTTCGATGTATGTATCATCAGATCAGTTACAATTACCATCCCTATATGTGATTATGCAAAAAAAATATGAATGATATGTAGTACTAGTAATAAATAACATCTAACAAAAAATATCTTTCCTATCAGACCCCCTCCCCCAGACCCTGGAGTAATAAAATAAATAAATAAATAAATAAATAAACGAGGCGGGTATGTATGTATAAAACCGTAATCACTCTGTTACTCGGTCAATGCGATTATCCTCATTTTGCCTGAAGTGGTTCGATGCATGTATCATCGGATCAATTACAATTACCATCCCTATATGTGATTATGCAAAAAAAAAAATATGAATGATACTCCTTCCGTAACTTTAAAATCTTCCCATTTCAAAAGTAGGTAGATTAAGAATAGTGAAATAAGATATAAATTATTGAGGGTATAATGGGAAGATAGTGGAATAATGTGATGGAATGTAGGATATATCCAAAAAAAGTAATTGTAATAGTGTATAATTTTAAGAACTATTGAGGGTATGATAGGAAGATTTTTTTTGTTACAAACGAAAAAGAAATGTGGGAAGGTATTTTTTTGTTACGCCGTAATAAATAACATGTGACATGAGTATCTTTCCTATCAATCTAGAATTTGGAACCTTCTGTTTCAATATAAAGTGTGAGAGGAAAGACAACTCTAGCCAGAAATTAAAAACCCTTCAAAATCCATAATGCCGCCGGCGTGGGTAATGCATTTAAGTGCCAACGGATTATGGGCTCTGAAGTCTGAACGGCTTCTATTTTAGTTTGATTTGGGTGAATTGAAGGATATGGAAGAGTCAAAGAAAGGTAGTTCCTAGCTATAGTCTGAGATTGATTCTTCCAAATCCATCACATATAATCCTTATAACAGACGGTAAGTCGGTAATTCCCTTCGCAATATTCCAAATACAGTTGTAACCATTTTAGTGTATTCAATCTATTTCATCTAATATAGAGCCCGTTTGTAATACTGGAAATCTTGGAATTGATTGAATTGACTAATTCTGCTAAAATTTACGATGTTGTGATTGAAGTGGTTGTATTGGCTGATTCTGCTGAAATTTGCACAGTTATCTTCAAGAATTCATTAGAATGTCTTTCCGTTTGAAGTTTTAGCTGAAATTTGGTAAGAGTAAACTAGACTTAATGAATAAGATAATCAAAAAAATTCATCACAAAATTCTACCGGAAATCGCTCCAAATGGCGACGGCCGTACAGAGCATCCTCTATAAGGGCTTATTTGATCTTTTTACGTAAGTTCGATGGCATATTTGACCCTTTTCCACCATATTATATTTGAGTGAATGTGAGCTTCCAATATTTGTAGAAATAGAGTCCCTGTTTATAGATAAGGAACCAAAGGGATACGATAAAGATTTAAGTGTGAGAAGCCAAATACCTTGTGGTCTGATGACATCACCGTGACACTTCCAAAGAGAAGGTCACATGTTCGAATATCATCCCAGTTCAAGGATGTTGGCCTTAATAGAACAGATACTACAATAAGTTGGAAATATTTATAAAAAAAATTAAGTGTGAAAAAATAGACAGAAAATGAGAAATAACAATACAAATACATAAAATGAAATGCTAACACATACTCACTAGCCCATTTAATAATACTGAAATTGACTGATTGGATTGACTCTGCTCAAGTTTATGAAGTTCTGACTGAGTGACTGAAGTAGCTAAATTTGCTTATTTTGCCGATGTAAAATATATTTTCTTAAAGAAGTAAGGAAAAATTATATTAAAAATAATTAAAATGATCATCTACAATCACTACATTGGGTTTCAAACCCTTATGTGCCTAGCGGGATTCGAATTCGAGACCTCCTACTAGGCACGGTAACCTCGCAACCAACTAGGCTGGAATGCTTGGTTCTATAATCACTTAAGTCAATTCAATGAAAAGTAACTTCAATCGTACTTATTTTTATGGTAGATTCTATGGTACCCTTAAGGTACCGTACCTTTATCCACATGGACGAATAGAAATAATGTAGTTGGATTAATTAAATCTAAATGAAAAGGAATAGAATGATTTGGACCAATCAAATGCATGGTAGGCACGGGTACCAATCTTTAAAAGAATACCGGAGTTATCGCCTATTTTTATTACTCTCATTACACAATTTAGTGCACAAAGTCAAAAGTTAATTATTTGATGAAGAAGTTCGCTAATAGCTTACATACATGATCGCCAAACGGGTTCTAATAAAGATAAAAAAATTAGATTAAATTAAATTAATAAAATACTCTGTTTTGGCTAGCATACAAATTCGTCCAACGCCCATCACCTACTTCTACTTGAACATATATAAATATATATCCATGCAGTCCTCCAAACGCGAGTTGAAATCCGCCATGGAAGGAGATGAGTTACAGCCTTTGGTGTCGCCGTTGATACCGGAGGTCGGCAGCCAGCTGCCGCAGCTCTTCCCATTCATTCCGCCGTCTTTGCAACCGGCGATGACGACGAACTCTGCTCATGAGTTGATTGGGTCGGATATGGATTGGGCAGTGCAGCTGCTTTTGGGTTGGGTGGATCCGAACCAGCTGTCGCTGATATTTAAGGATCATATCTGCAGTGAAAACGGAAATAATAATGATGAAGGGAAGAAGCAGCAAGCAGCCACTTGTAAGAGTAAAAGGAAATATCCGTCGAGAGTTGCGTTCCATACAAGGAGCAGTGAGGATATTCTGGATGATGGCTACAAATGGAGAAAATATGGGCAAAAAATTGTGAAAAACAGTTCCCATCCCAGGTATTTCTGTAATCTCATCTCTAATCTTTAGCATACGGAGTATATCACTTCCTTCTTTTGTAAGTTTCTATTTTGATATTTAAAAAATGATATATTACCCGAAATAGGACTAAAAGGATTTTAAAATTCCAAAAATACGAGTGTCATGTTTTTATTCCCAAAGTAGGACTAATTACTGCCATGTTTTGGCCGTACCAGACTTCAAATAAGGCAGTATTTTCCAAACTTGGCAGTAATTACTCATATTTTGGGAATAAAAACATGTCAGTCCTATTTTGGAATTTTCAAACTGTTTTAGTCATATTTCGGGAACTTTCCCTTAAAAATAGATCAAAGTACTATCCGTAACATTCATATCTTTCCATTTAAAAGTAGGTGAGATTATAAATAGTAAATGGTGATATAAGTTTTATTGAAGATATGATGAGAATATAATGAAATAATGTGTTGGAATGAAAGATAATTTCAAAAAAATATAATTGTAATAGTATATTGTTTTTGAGACTGCGATAGAAAGATTTAGAAATGAGAATATATGAATGTTACAGTTGAAAAAGAAAAGTGGAAAGATATATTGTGGTTCTGCGTACATGGAGTAATATGCCTGAATAATTGAAAGGTTTCGTTTGACAACAAAACAAGTAAACAACACAAACTAAAACATTTAGTTTTAGAAGATTATTCAAAAGTACTAAGTATCTAGTATTATTTTGTAATTAGAAGGTTTTAAATACATATTTTAAAAATGTGAATAATTACTTTTACATTGTTTTAACTAATATTAGCCTTAAAAATTATAAAAGAATAAATTTAAAAGTTTCTAGTAGATTTATGCAATTGGTGATAACTAATATTCCAAGTTGAGTGTTTTATGAGTAGGAGATAGGCTAAAAAATAAAATAATGCATATTAGACCATTTCATTTGGAGTGGTGTGGAGGGCATAATGTCAAAAATGAATCCCGTTTATTTGAAAACAGTGTTTTGACGACTCATATTTCTTTGCTCCTTGCATTTTTTTTGCATATCAATTTATAAAATATATATTAAATTGTTTTATGTAAAGTTTTCCATTTGATTTTTTCCTAATTTAAACAATTATGAACTAAAAAATACACATCTTGATGTAAAAATAAATAAATTTTATTAACTTTTTTACAATTTTTAATTAACGAATAATGAACTTAGTTCACGTAAAGTTCGATTGTGGAATATTAAGTCATTTGTGGAGGATACATGAATTAAAATTTTGTGTTTCATGTAATTTTGGGCTCAAGAAAACTTTAACAGTTAAAACTTCAGTTTTTTTTCATTTACATATTGGTTGCATATGAGAGATTATAAAAATTCATGAACTGTGATATATTTTTTTAAGAAATTTGGATAAAAAATCAAAGAGTTATAATTTTTTTTAAACAATTATGATTTAATGATATCACATTGACGTCGCCCAGGCCTAAATAACTTTGCTTATCACTGCCAACCGGAATTTGGAACCTCTTCCATGACTGGAGCGTTCCATTTGGAGAGAAACAGAGAGGAGAAAATTAAGGGTGAAATAGGTTGGTGAGTGTGGACATATAAAATTATTGGGCCGATCCTGATTCTCATTGCGTCTCTTTTAAGTGTAATTGGGCCGACGTCAAATTCTACTAGGCTGCTTGTGATGATTGGCGGGCCTTATCAAGAAGAAAATAGTGATATGGATTTCTTGGGATAAAATTTATTAATTTAATTAATTTGGATTATTCGAAATATCCAATTAATTTAATTATAAATTAAATCTTTAAAAGAATGGACGAGTCCTATTAATTTCTTGATTTTGAGCCCATTATTAAATAGTGGCCCGATACATAAGAGACATGATCCAATTGATAAAGAGGACAACGAATCTGGTTAAGAAATCCGTCTGTGTGCATGGAAAATGGCTGTGAACCTTGTTAAAAAGACTGTCCAGATACATTATATAAGTGCTGATTTTTCTAGCTATTAAATGCAAGCAAATAGAGCCCAAAACCCATTTTAATTGAGGCCCATATAATATGGACGAATTTCAGCAACCCTAAGCCATATTTTCACCCCATCCACACCTATAAATAGGGGTCTCAGTTGAGAGAAAGGGAAGAGAACTTCCAGACGAAGAAACGCTGCAGCAAAGCTCTGAAGAACTCCCGAGAGGCTCTGAAGGATTCCGAAGAAGAGGAAGAGATCAAGCCACGTTTTTGTCAAGAATATATGAATAATCCTTTGTGATTTCATCGATTCTTGATCAAACAAAGCCAAAAGTTGAAGAACATTCGAAGATCTGAAGAACGAAGCTTGAAGATTCGAAGATCTGAAGAACGAAGCTTTGAAGATTCGAAGATATGAAGAACGAATCTTTGAAGATTTGAAGATATTCATATGAAGATTGAATCAATATTCAATTGAAGATCAAGCCATATATCCCGGGAAGCCCTTTAACAGAAGATCAAGCCACATAACGGCCCTTTTGTTGAAGATCAAGCTACTTGAAACCGGAGGCCCTTCAAAATTGAATTTTGCATTCAAGAAGATTTGAAGATCCAAAGAACGAAGTTCGAAGATTCGAAGATCTCAAGAACGAAGATTCGAAAAATCGAAGAACGTTCGAGTTTTTGAAGAATTAGAGATTTAATTTTAAATTAAATTCTTTAATTATATTCATATCAAATTGCAAATGAAGAATCAGAGGATTCATATTTAGAGATTGTACCCGATATTCTCACATATTATTATTTGCGATCAATTTTAAGTAAATACTTAAAATTTGTTTCACAAATTTTTGGCACGCCTGGTGGGACAACTCTACCTCTCATCTCTTCACTTTTCATCAAGGAAAACGAAACAATGACGTCAAGCAAGCCCGTGTTCACTTTGAATTCTCGAGCATCATCAAACTCAAATCAAAACATGCAAGGCCCTATCACTAGGAGCCGATCAAGAATCCTGGCTGCGCAGTCATCTTCGGGAACTACTCCCGGTGCAATGGATGGATCTCGAATTGCGCAAGAAATGGCCTGGAAGCTTTCTTCACCCATACGTGAAGTTACTTCCCCTAAGTGGACAAGCGGAGGTGAAAGCTCGTCATCTGGATCGGACTCTACTCCCCCATCAAGTCCTCTGCGAAGAACTACTCCGCAGTGGTCGAATGTCTACACTGTGATGCCCACTATGACCACGAGCGCCATGACGATGGAAGAACAAATCGCTCATCTAACTAGGGTCATCGAAGGGATGAGTGCGTTCATGCAGAATCAAGACCAAAAGTTGAATGAGCTAAACAACAAAGTAGAGAGCTTGAAAGGCGAGTCAAGTCATAATCATGAGAAGGACCCCGAAGTAAATGAAGAGAATGATCCTCATCAAGAGGATTCGGGCAAGGATATCTCAACCTCCGGGGGCATGATCCCGATTGATCAACTTAAAGACTTCATTATGGGAACCATAAAGGGGAAGATAGAAGGAAACAAATCTACTTACTCCTATGTTAAGCCATACACTCAAAGGATCGAGGATCTAAAGATGCCCATTGGTTACCAGCCACCGAAGTTCATCCAGTTTGATGGGAAGGGAAACCCAAGGCAACATGTTGCCCATTTCGTGGAAACATGCAATAACGCGGGAACAAGCGGAGATCATCTGGTTAAACAGTTCGTACGTTCCCTGAAAGCAAACGCTTTTGACTGGTATACTGACCTGGAGCCTGGTTCCATTGATAGCTGGCAAGATATGGAACGTGAGTTCTTAAACCGTTTCTACAGCACAAGGAGGGTGGTGAGCTTGCTTGAGTTAACAACTACTCGCCAGTGGAAAGATGAGCCCGTGATAACCTACATCGAGCGCTGGAGAGATCTTGCCCTCAATTGCAAAGATCGGATCTCTACAAACTCCGCAATTGATATGTGCATTGAAGGTATGCACTGGGAGTTATGTTATATTCTCAAGGGAGTGAATCCAGCTACTTTCGATGAATTAGCAAGCAAAGCTCGTAACATGGAGTTGAGTATTGCAAGCAATGGAAGGCAAGCTATGGGCATCCATCCCATGAACCATGCCGCTGAAAAGCAAGATACCTAGAAAGGGGGCAAGTCCTTTTCTAAATTTGAAAAGAAAGAAGCAATGGTTGTGAAGACTTCACCAGTCAAAGTCTTCACTCAAAATACCGAGAAGACAAAACAAGTTGCTAAAGTTGAACCTGAAACCTCGGGGCGTGTCAAGCCGACTTTGCGAGAAATGATGGAGAAACAATATCCTTTCTTGGAGTCTGATGTTTCTCCGATGTTTGATGAACTGATGAGGTTGAAACTTGTTGATTTACCTCAGTCAAAACGACCTGAAGAAGCCACAAAGGTCAATGATCCCAACTACTGCAAATACCATAGAGTGTTGAGTCACCCGATAGAGAAGTGTTGGGTGTTCAAAGACAAGATTATGGCTTTAGCCCGCGAAGGAAAGATTGAACTTGTCGATTCTGCAGCAAGCGCAAACCAAATTACCATTACCTTCGGTAGGTTTGCTCCGCTAATGGTCAATGACGACCCAGATTCTCACAAGTGTAAGCTCCCTTTTACTATCAAGAGAATGAAAGAATGTCCTCCTCTCACTAAAAGAATGACACTCGAGGATGTTGATGACGAGGGAAGACCATGGATCTTGGTGACTCAAAAGAAACAAAAGAACGACTACAAACCAAAGCCACAGGTGAGGAAGGTGGTAAAGAAATGGATCAGACAACAACCGATGAATGAATTGAAGAAGAAGAAAAAGAAACAAAGGAATGGTCGTTCTCGTTCCAAGGTTACACGGAAGGTGATTACTCTCAACGATTATATACCGAAGAATTTCAAGAACAAGGTTACTCAAATTTCGAGTTCTTGCCTTAGCACCCATGAGAAAGAAATTGAGAGTTCAAGTAGATGTTCAAATCCAGTTTCGACTAAGCAAGAAGTGGTCGAAGCACAAAAATCTACTGCATATGCCACTGATATTGTCTTTAAAGACGAAGATCTTATGTTGGGTGCTACTCCCCATAATCGTCCGCTTTTTGTTGAAGGATACACTCGTGGACGGAGGTTCAGAAGAATTATGATAGATCAAGGGTCTGCCGTTAACATTTTGACGGTCCGAGCTATGAAAGACCTTGATATATCAATGGATGAACTATCTCAAAGCCGCTTGATGATTCAAGGCTTCAATCAAGGGGGGCAAAGGGCGATTGGAATGATACGTCTTGACTTGACCATCGGCGGGCTGAAGGCAAGCACTTTATGCCATGTCATTGATGCAAAGGCTTCATACAATCTCCTTTTGGGCCGCCCATGGATCCATGAGAATGGTGTAATTCCTTCAACGTGGCATCAATGCTTCATGTATGAGGAAAATGGCGTTGTAAAGAAGGTAGTAGCCGATGAAACTCCATTCACAGAAGCCGAGACATACTTTGCAGACGCAAAGTTTTATCTAAAGGCCAAAGTTTTTAAAGATGACGATGCAAGAAGAGAAGAAGAAGAGTATCGCCCCTCGGCTGAACCAAAGTTGAAAGGGAAGCTCGTTGAAGGCGTAGAAGGGCTTGTATTCCCTCTTGCAAAGATTGAAATATCAAGGCCCCCTCGAAACACATCTAAGGATGAAGTGAAACACGAGAATGATGTTAAGACATTTCAGCTCCCTAAGGCACGCACAAATGAAGGATTTGACCCAAACGCGTACAAACTTCTAGCCAAGGCTGGGTATAATCCCGATGAACAGATTTTGGGAAAACTCATTCCAGAAGCTGGTGGTGAAGGGAAACCGAAGCAGATCAATCATCGAGGGCACACAGGATTGGGTTATGTTCAGCCAAAACCCATAAGGATCCTCATAAATAGAACTGCAACGCATCATATCAGTGCTGGTGAAGAAGATGAAGTGACTTCTAAACCGAAGTATTCTGTCTTTGATCGGATTGGGAGGGCAAGATCAAGGCCCGCCATATTTGACAGAATGGGGCCAAAGCCAAAGAAGATCATGAAGAAGACTTTAGAAGAAAGGCTTGGAATGATCCCGATGAACGTGAAGAACGTTGAAGATCCATGTAGTGGGCAAAATTTTGCGCGGAAACCAATACATGAAAGGTTGGGGAAAATTCGCTCATGTAAGAGGTCTTTCAACCAATATGCAAAAGCACAAGCTTCGAATGAATGCAGAAGCTTGATTCCATCAAGAATGAGACGAGAAACTGATGTAAAAGTCTCATGTGGAGAAACCCTCAAAGCACAACTCAAAACCATAGTTCATACTCAAATGCTTGAAAATAATGAGTTGATATCTGATGAACTAGCCGATGACAAGGAATACATTGCCTCATCTTACCATGTTACTTTTGAAGATGAAATTCCGGCCGAAGGTGAAGATGCTGATGAAGCTCCTCCTGAATTTGAAGACGGAGTGCGAACCGCCTTGGATGAATTACAAGAAGTAAACCTTGGCACCGAAGAAGATCTTCGCCCCATTTATATCAGTGCTCTTCTCTCAAGTGAAGAAAAACAAGAACACTTGGCCTTACTTCGAGAGTACAAGGATGTCTTTGCATGGACATACAAAGAAATGCCGGGGTTAGACCCAAAGGTCGCTGTTCATCACTTAGCGATAAAGAAAGGATGTCGACCAGTAAAGCAGGCTCAAAGGCGCTTCCGCCCAGATTTAATCCCATTAATCGAGGCAGAGGTAGATAAACTTATTGATGCTGGGTTCATCCGAGAAGTAAAATATCCTACTTGGATAGCCAACATTGTCCCGGTCAAAAAGAAAAATGGACAGATCCGAATATGTGTTGATTTTCGGGATCTGAATCTTGCTTGCCCGAAAGATGACTTCCCACTGCCTATCATTGAATTGATGATAGATGCTGTGACCGGACACGAAATTATGTCATTTATGGATGGTTTTTCCGGTTATAATCAGATCCGTATGGCTCCCGCAGATGAAGAATTGACTGCGTTCCGAACTCCCAAGGGAATCTATTGCTACACGGTCATGCCGTTTGGACTTAGGAATGCTGGAGCTACTTACCAACGAGCTATGCAAGCAATATTTGATGATATTCTCCACAAAATCGTGGAGTGTTATGTTGATGATCTCGTGGTGAAATCAAAGGCCCGAAATGAGCATCTATCTCACTTAAAAATAGTATTTGATCGCTTGAGAAAGTTTGGTCTCAAAATGAACCCTCTGAAGTGTGCTTTTGGAGTTTCAGCTGGGAAGTTCTTGGGATTTATTGTTCGTCACAAAGGCATTGAGATAGAACAAACCAAGATCGACGCTATCGTGAATATGCCTGAGCCTCGGAACATTCATGAGTTAAAGAGTTTGCAAGGGAAATTGGCTTATATACGAAGGTTCATCTCGAACTTATCGGGAAG